CGGCACTGTGAGACCTCATACTTTTGTTTTTCTTCTTCAATAATGCTTTGCTTATCCGAAGTCTCTTTCCTTTCCATATAAAGTTAGTGATTGGTTTTTCCATATCCCTAAAGAATGTTGATGAGATCTGGGTTGGAATTGCATTGAAAGTATAGATTGCTTTGAGTAGAGTTGACATTGCTTCCATAAAGATTTACAGCCTTGGAAACCTGTTGAGGGTCACTATGAGTCAGAATCAACCCAATGGCAGTGAGTTTGAGTTTGAGTTTTAGGTGTATAAAATATTTTTATCAGTTTCTTTAAAAATGTGAGAGAAAAGCCATCATTAATGGCTGCTTAATATACTCTTGATGTACTCTTGTTGTTATTGTCCTAGAGTCTGTTCCATCTCATGGGGACCATATATATGCAAAGTGTACCTGCTCAGTGGAATTTAAACAGATTGCCAGGCCTGTCTTCCCAGGCACTCAGGGGATTCTAATTGCCAACCTTTCCACTGGTAATCAAATACTTAACTGCTTGCACAACACCCAGGGGCTCCTGATACACTCTAAAGGGTTGATGAGGACAGATTACATTCCTGAACACTTGAATAAATTTAAGACTGTCAAATGATTTGTATAATATACTACTCCTGTGATCGGTAATTATAAAATTCATGGTTGTCAAGGGAGCTGATGGAAGGAATTATGGATTACATGGAAGCTTCTTGTAAGTTGTGGTATTTATTGGTTTGTGTTCAGGCATTGGGGCCATAACAATGTGAAATGCTAATCTTGGTTTCTCCACATCTTAGAATCACATAGCTTTAGCCCGGAGAGAACTTGTTACTTGCCCATAATCATACAGCTAGAGTGTTGTCAGTCTAGGAATTCAGGAGCTCTCATTTCTGATGGTACATAAATGATCTAGCCTTCACCTAGTTATTTCCCAGGAAACGGAAATTATGACAGGATAAAAGGTTAATTTTTTTTTCTTCTCCTAGTTTTGAATTTTTTTTTGAGGGAAAATAATTTTTATTTTAAAAACGAAAAATTTTTATGAATTATTTTTCACAACAGGGAAGGAAGTCACTAGGACCAAAGGTGTGAACATCTTTATGTGGCTCTTTATGTGGCTCTTAATACATACTACTCCATTACTTTCCAAAAAGATTATACCAGTTTCTGGACCAGCTGGAGTTTTATATTTCCAATGTTGTTGTTATGTGCTGTCAAGTCGGCCCGACCCATCGCAACCCCTCCTTGGGTTTCTAGGCGATATCACTACAGAAGTAGATTGCCCAACCAATACCTGAAATAATTCTTAGTTTACTGCTTTTCACACTGTGAAGACCTTATTATTATTGAATGTTTTGAAAGATCCCTAGGTGGCACAGACAGTTGGCAGTTCAAACCTATCTAGTGGTGCCATGGAAGAAAAGCAATCTGCTTCCATAAAGAATACAGCCAAGAAAACCCTATGGAGCAGTTCTTTTCTATAACACATGGGGTTGCCATGAGTTGGAATCAACAGCAGGTGGGTTTGGTTTTTTGATATGGTGTCTAACATACCAAAAAAAAACAAACTCACTGCCATCAAGTTGATTCTGACTCATAGTGACTCCCGTTGGGTTTCCATGGCGGTAAATCTTTACAGAAGTAGATTGTCCAGTCTTCCTTCCGTGGAGTGGCTAGTGGATTTGAACGATCAACCTTCTGGTTAGCAGTCAAATGCCTTAGGCACTACGCCATAAAAGCTCTATCATACAACTACTCAATAAACTTTTTCTTAAATCCCAGATGTTTCCATTGGGAAGCCTTTATTGTGTCCATAATTTGTAAAAGTAGTGTGTCTTATTGAGTTGCTTGTCATAAAAATTCATCTTGGAGCCTTTTTTCCCCATGCTTTTCCACCTCTGCATACTTCCTCCGTTCTACTAGCAAATCAAGGCTTGTGGTGTTTTTCTACTTGTCTACAGGTCCGTGTTCCCCCTTCTAAATTCTTCCCTAGATTCTAAGTTCCTAAGGACACATTCCTGTCCTGTTTTGTTTTGTTTTTGATTTGGTTTGTTTCATTTTTTTAAAACTTCAGGCCTAGCATGGGCCCTGGCAGATACAGGGACACTTCATAAATGTTGGTTGACATAAATAAAGCCTAAGCCCAGAAAAATAAATCAAATATTCATGGGGAGTTATCTGATTTATCAGATGTTACCCACAAAAGTCTGAGAAAAGATAATTCACTTATTCACTCATAAGCATTTTATTGTGATCCTCTGTGTATCAAGCACTGTTGTAGGTGCTGAGGCTGTGGAACAGGGCCAATCCCTGCCCTCATGGAGTTTGTAGTCTATGATACTCAGTCAAACGCCTAGAGTTATGAACAAACTGAGTGAATTCAGAGTATGAGCAAATCTTAGTCGAGTTGGGTCAGATTGGAAAATATTTTTCATGCTAGCATTAGGAGTTTGAGTTGTATCGTACACGATGTAGGTTGTCAAGGTCTTTTAATGTGGTAGCAGTATGATTTGATTTGAGTTTTAGATATCTTACTCAGGCAAAAGTTGATGGACTGGAACCTTAAGACACTTACCAAGGGAGACCAATTAGGATACTCCCACTTAAGAAATGACAACTGAAACTAAAACCAGAGATAGATGGCTAGGGGAAACTTCTAGTTCTTTTTAATAGAAAGCAAAATTTATTGGCCCACTTGTAGGAAAGTACGTAATATTGAAGCCAGTATTCATGGTTGATTTAATCACATTATTAATGCCCTTCCTTTGGATCTTCTCTGCCCTTGTCCTTATCCCCTTCAAGAGTCTCCATTTCCTTCCATCAGATACCTTAATTACTAGTAAGTTACTTTTGTGTCTTTTCTCTTGCCATCTGCTACAATGTATACTTACTGTTTACTGAATTGTTTAATTCACTTCTTAAAGACTGTGAACAATGCTGCCTTCCTATCCCTCCCTCCAACCCCCACTACCCATCCCCCACCCTAGGAAGTTTCTATGACAGTAAAACCAAACCAAACTCACTGCTATTGAGTCTATTCTGACTTATAGTGACCCCCATTGGTTTTCCAAGGCTTTAAATCTTTGTGGAAGCAGACTGCCTCATCTTTCTTCTGAGCAGCTGGTAGGTTTGAACCACCAGGCTTTTGGTTAGCAGCCTTAACCACTAATTTATTGATAAATGGAGCAAATAAATGATTCACTGAGTCTGTGTACTCTGTAGGCTTCATGACAAGACCATCTGTTAACTTTGGACTCAGACAGACCTAGCTTCAAACTTAGCTCTGTGCCTTTAGAAAACGCTACTAAATCTCTTTTCATTTCCATTTCTTTATATTACGGGGATGATAATTCTCACCTTTCAAAATTATGAACATTAGAAAATGAAATGTAATAAATAAAAGTTTAGCTTAGTGCATATCATTTAGTAGGTACTTTTTTACTTTTCTAGAATGTGGATGCTGGTACTGTTTGGACAGGCCTTGTCTACCTTCCCTTTGCATGTCACCATGCTTGCTTTTGTTTTCATCTGGATTAAGTTTTAGGTGATTGCTCATTGGTGATTAGATTCTCTCTCAGATATGTAATGATTAAATCAGTCATTAAAGGTTTAGTGCCAAGTGGATAAGGGTATTAACAGACAAGCACAGTGTATATCATATGTTTTACTGACTTTTGTTCATATTCTTTAAAAGTAGATGATCAGTTCCCAAGAAATGAGCAATCTGAAAACCTGTGATAGGAAATCTTGTTAATTCAAAGTATTTTGAATTGTGATTCAGAATATATATTGTTGTTGTTGTTGTGTGCCGTCGAGTCGG